TGAATTTAACGATAATATTATTGTAATCGAGATTGGCTAAATAATTTATTTTTACATAACTTATAAGGAAACTATGATAATTGCTTTAAAACTACACGAGCGAGGCAGTTTTAAAATCCACTTTATACCTTACAGTTATCAGTCTAGAATAATATTTGTCACTATAAAAACGCATATGATAATTAATGATAACAATGGCGTTATAAATCTTTGCTATGGAGATCAGAATTAAAAGATAATTATATGTATTTAATTCAAAAAATAAGAACTCAAAATAAACAATACATACAAAAAAAAATTACGTAAAGACAATTAACGCTCCTACTGAATTGGTATTAAGATGAAAAATAAAATGAAATCGTACAATCAAATTGATTACCTTGAGTTTAGACATGACGATTGATCCAATTATTTTGGAGTCATGAACACGTCCGCACCACGGCACGTCTTAGACACGACTGACTGGTGCTTCATACGACCACAACTCGCAAGAAACCTGATGGAAATACAGTTTGTTATTGTATTGTCACTTTCTTTAAACTTTGATTTATCATTCATACATTTATTTACATACATATAATTAAATTCTATTCTTCTAGCTAGCTATTAGCGTGGTGAATGTATGTAACTTTAGCAATGATTTTGCAACGAAATAATAATTATTTTTTAATATTATTGAAGCCCAAGAATCTTTTATGTATTCTACTTAATATTTATAATTATGAATATTTAAATCTACCAGCGTTTTTATCTTTAAAGTTTTACTTTTTTCTTTATACAAATGTTTTAATTTCATTGACTTTTGTTAAGAATTTATAACATTGTATTTCATGCCGAACAAACTTTACGTATACGTATTACGTATAAACAATAATATTACGTAATAAATACGTAACTTTCTCTACATGATATCGTTTATTTTGCGTATAAATTAATATATTTATTGATGATAAGTCAAAATAAATGTATTGCAATGCCTTGGGATGTGTACAATATTTTAATAATTTTATCACGTTAAGGCTATTCACAACACACAAGGAAAACAAACTCTCAAGAGAAATGTCTTTATCGCAAATTCAATTTAGATTGTAAATGAACTTAACAAAGGAATTAGTATTCATATTTTCATGTTTCGAAATAGATCGAGTTTTCGTAATTATAGTCTTACTAGTTTTTGCCCGCAAATCCGTCCGCGTGAACGTCAGAGTTGCTTTCAGAGCGGGATGTATGAAATGTGTTAAAACAATGCATATAGTGAGCTACATAACAGTCTTTTTATTTAAATAATCTAGACCGATTGTAGCGCCATCTGCCAGGTTGATTTGTGAATTTAAACCATCTGTAAGTATCTATACAATATTGAAATAACCGTCTTTTTACTACCTGCAAATAAATATACATAGAACAAAGTCAATTTTTTTGCAATGTTTTTTCTGTCTGCCTGCTTGTTTGTTCCGCTGAAACTCTGAAATGACTAGACCTATATTGACGGGTCTTTTTTTGGCAAGGAATAACTTAGGCTTTTTATCCCGATACCGAAATAAAGCGTTATCACGTACGAGCGTGAGGCGGGACGTATGCGGTGATTAAAAGTTTTTCCATTGATTTTCTTTATATTTTAAGCAGACGAAGTCGCGGGTAACAGCTGGTATTAATATATATCTCAACTGTTTAGGAGTTCAGTGACATATAAAAGTACAGTTGAAATATATATACAGGGTGACTGGTGAATTACTATCAATATTTAAGGAGAATGCTCGGTTCATGATTCTCATTCGAATTATGTAAAAAAAATAGGTACTTAATTTTTGACCAAATTTCCGTATAAATAAATAAAGTGTGGACACGTTCCAAGTCTTCCAAGTGTGGACGCGTGCGGCGGCGTGCTGATACAACACCACGCCGCCGCACGCGTGTGTGTGTGTGTGTGTATACCTAATCTGTAGGGTATTCACACGATGCGTAATTAATTACACAACTTTTGGTTGACTTTACTTAGAAGTTTATTAATATTTATGTTATATTAATTTTTATTTTGTCATATATGATCGTCAAATATCACGTCCTCAAATATCGATAGTAATTCACCAGTCACCCTGTATAAGATGAAAAGCAGATGAAGGTCGTAGTTGAAGTTATAAAAGTGTTTCAGCCACCATCCTTATGCATTTAATATAACTAACTCACTTAACTAACTCGCTTAACTAACTCACTAATTGAGTTCTTGAAATTTTGAAATTAAAAATACAATAAAATTGTATTAAAAATCAAAATGCACTGTCTCAGAGTGGTGTCTGATCATTGAGACAGTAGACGAGTTGGCAACGACATGTTTTTTTTTATATAAATTTCGTTTATATTTGAATTGTTCTTGAAAGCTTTCCTGTTTCGTAAAAAAATATCATAAATAATTAAACTTTCCTTTGAATTATCTAAAACTCGAGTTTAAGTAGTTTTCTCATAATCTGTTATACAATTGTCAATTTAATTTACAATTTTTTTCCTTATTAACGTAACAGATTTTTTGATTGTTTAAACTTAATATGAAATTAATATGTGAATGTAAAAAATAATTATAATTGTGATATTATTTTGTGGTATACACATATATACATTTCCAAGTTTTGTAAAATATATATAATTTTAAAAATTATGCCATATTAAATATAGTTACAGAAACTAAAATGAAGATCCTTATCTTATTGGAAAGTTACAACCCAATTAAAAATATAATAACGGTAACGTTTTAAAATACATATTCAAAACGATAATTTTTCCTTATTGGCAGATTTTTTTTTTATTTTTAACGATATTTTTTTCTCATCTCTCTCCCCCTATTTTTTTTTGATCAAGACTGGCCCAAAAAACTTGATATCGCTCCACAACTATAATGTCATTGTGCAAGTACCAATGTGCAACAAAAATTGAGTTGTAGAGAGAACAGAACCTTAAATAATCGACAGCCATAAACATCTCGTGAAGGACGAACCTCCAGAAAGACAGAAATCTAGGTAATGAGATCAAGGGATACATAATTCATAGATAGCTTACTAGTGAGGCTATCGTAACAGATCCTACGAAAACTTTCATATAAATGTGAGTTATGGTAAAGAAGATTCCCAGAAGACAGATTCCTACGAAATCTGCATTGTTATTCACTGAGAAGATTATCTTCTTAGCGTATTACAGGAGCCTGTTCAGTCTTTCATTCAATACTATATCTTTTTTTGAAATTTGTCTGGAAAAATAATTATTATTAATAAAATGTTGATAAATGCAACAAGTGTCATTTAATAAACCCACATCGAACAATATTACAAGTTTTCTTATCACTTGAACCAAAAAAGAAACCATATCAGTAAAACTTTTATTAACTAAAAGGAAATATTAAGTGGTTTTTATTTTTCATGAAGATAATGCTGTCAAAGAAATTGTAGAATAACTTAAATATACTTCGATATCTTCATTAATTACAAATTACAATATGTATTTCAAATTACTAAAGTTTAATGAAAAGAAATCTTTTAAGAGCTCAACTAGTTTGATGCTGCGTTGTTCTTGTGTAAAATCAAACATAATATATTAGATGACTCCATTTAAAGATATTACAAATTTCACACTCATGTGCATTTATTCTAATTTCTATATGGAATATATCTGGACTTAAAGGATTTAGCATACATTGCTGCTCCTGTTTGTGTCTGAGTGCCCTTGCTATGTAAAGGACCCAGCAATGTAAGTTTAAAGGAAAAGAGAATTCCATAACCAGCCTGTGTACAACAACACTACAACTAAAGCAAAAGCCATAATAATATAATCGCTCAGGAAAACTATTTTTTAATATAAAAAACGTGAGTGAATAATGTGACCTTGAATAAATATAAGAAAAAAAAATACAAAAGAAGATCATGATACGGTTTTTGAAATTCACATATTAGTATAACAGCTTATTAAATCCTCTTATTCAAATTTAATTGATTACTTTTTTAATGAAATAGGAATAAAGCCTTATTATTTCACACTCCACAAAATAGAAATATAATATTATGCGAAACTATTAAGGCATTTTATATTTAAAATAGTTTTACATATCTGTATGCAAATAATGACTATAATTATCTTTGAGAACGAGGATTAAATTACCCGTGTTTTAGAAAAGGGCGATCGTGACAATTGTTATTTACATTCTGTCGTTCTATAGATAATAATAACAGAGGGCGTATTTTATTTTCAATAGTTTTGTTATTTTCAATAGCTTATGTCACACTACTGGTTGACTGAATAACTATACAACAGATATTAATTTAGAGCGCACTATAAAAACCCTATTAAATAGATTTCAAATACTTTGGTATACATTTTATTTGTTGCTACGTAATAATTTGGAACAGTCTCTTAAGCTAAAATAATATTGTGGTTATGAAAGATGAAAGATGAAACGTTTTAGCTACTTATAATTTTTATGTTAGTAAACTTTACTCATAATTTCTGATCTGATATTTTCTCCATCAGATACTGTTAAAAAATAAATAGTTGACGGATTTTATCAAATATTAATAATAAAAAAGGTACATAGCTTCAAAATAATTTATTGTAATATTTGTTAAAAGCGTCCTCTTCCGTTTTAATACTAAACAATCGGGTGTCACTTAAATGTTTTAAGTTATACTATTGGACGGCAGATGGCGCTGTAACATTACTTGTCAGATCACTCGGGACGCGTTAGGAATGTCACAGTTCGGTAATGGCCGCCGCCGGGGTGGTCTATTTAGGTTGTCGTGTGTGCGTCGTGTGTTGCTGGTTGTTTACATTATTTACATCAACATTCTTATCATAACAAATTATTCAGAATCGTATTCCACTGGTTTTTGTTCAATTTAAAAACAATTCTATAACAGTGTTTTTAATCGTGACCGTGCGTATACTTATTGAAATGGGAAAGCATCATTTTGTGTAGTGTTGTGTTTGAAGTTAGCCAAATGTTGGGCTACAGAAGCAATATGTGCAACCGGCAGCACACCCAGGCGTGCTTGAACACATCCCTGTCCATACGGCAGGAGATACAGCGGTTTGAAAGTGTACATCCATCGATATACGCTTTATACGACCTCGTGGAGCTCGTGCCTGACCCGTTATTGGCCCAGCAGATCCGAGATCACGTCGTCGCTATAGAAGGTTTGTCATCTCTACCTTATTTACCCAGCCAACCCCATGCGTCGTGTTTACGTCGTTTATATCTCCCGTTTCTAAGGAGACGCCGTGTTTTGTATTGATAAGGCAAGCCGATAACCTATGTGTGTATCGATTAGGATACACAGTTTAAACGTAAAATAATGTCAAGGATAATCTTTAAATATATCAATTAAATCAATAAAATAAAACGTTATCTCATAATAATAATAAACGCGGTAAAGTTGTAATCTTTATATAACAATAAATAAGTATCGCAATACATATACAGACAACTGTTGATTGATAGTACACGATCACGTTATTCAAACTGTAAAGCGAGTAACAATTAATATGTAACGTTATGATATCGTTTTATAATAAAACGTTATATTCAATTATCCTTGACAAGAGAAAGATATGTATCGATTACAATAATTTGTTGAATTAACAGCTTCCTTTAATACCAGATTACTGCCGTATTTCGAATTAAAATAAACATACTTAAGAGCAGAATAACATTATTTTTTTTTATCATCTAGAGCAAATGAATATTCATTTGTGTTCTTAATATTTATGCTGGCATAAAATTATTGTATTTTAGTTGCGTTGATATATTATATCAAGTTTATATAGCCAGATGTTTCGGAAATATTATACTAAAAAGTAATTAGGCACAATGATGAGGATTAAAAATTATTCGAGAAAAATTGTAACTATTTGCTTTGTGGCGAGTATTTTTATATTAAGTATATACTTCGTTATTGTATATCAGAAGTTTCTCGTTATAAGTTTCCGTGATAAGAATTGTGAATTACAATTATACATTCATATAACAGATTGTATAACTCCATACAAATCACGAACTTGACATTAAATTCTCTCTGGGTTCATTGTCTTGCTGCCGAATGGACCGTCAATTGTTGCTTATAAAAACTGTTATTGTGCTATATAGTTTCAACCTTTCTTTCTATGACTTTTTTTATTTTAGATTGCTCTGGAAAGTTTTACAAGCTGTTCCTTCAATCGAATATTCAATTCTTTTTATTTAGAATTTATAAGAACGAAGTATTGAAGTCGGAATTTTCAAGTATTTCAAAATTTTATATAATTATTGACGCATTTATATCGTAATTATTATATGTGTAATGTTTAAATTAAATCAACAAAGCTTTGATGAGATAATACCAATAACAAATTATAATTTCATCAAATGTAGCGTAAACTGTATTGAATTATTACTCGAAATAATTAAATTTTTAATCTAAATTATTCATATTTAATTAAAAATGTATACGTGTAATATATCGATTTTTTTACAATGCTTTAAAACCTATTCACAAATATACAAAGACAGGCTATGTGCCAGTTACAATAATAATGTACCTCAAAGGGATTTCCGTACCATCCCGTTTGTATTGTGATATTTAAAATAATTCCTAGTAGCGTACGTTTAACATTATTACCGCTTAAAACAGTTGGCTTTAATGATCCGTGCTATTTAAGATGTTTTAAAATTACATTTTGTCGTAGACTTGTGTTCAAAAACGGCTAATTGTACATTCTGAAACCCTATAAAGTTTCTGAATCATTTCACTCTATAGAAAGTCGTTTTTCGCCAATGGGTTAGGGATATGGAAAGGTTATTTTTAAGTCACATATTCACGAATTTGTTTTCAAATAAATGCTTACATCAAAAACAGAATATCGTGTTAAACATAAGTCAAACAAAATAAAACATTATTTTGTCTCAGCGTAATATATTTAGAACATTTTAATAGAGTTCCCAAGTTCATGTTTCATTCTAAATAAAATATATGAAGATAAACGGAAAGTTTTCATGATATTTTATTTATTATAATAAAATTTGAAGACCAACTCGGCTGTGATCGCATAAGTTTGTAGGAATGCATCTACATAAAACTTTTTTGCTAACAATATTAAAGATGTTCCTCAAATATATTCAACTAATGTAATAAATGGATTAAATTTCGATGAATTTACTGCAACTGTTGGCTGTTTGTATTTACGGTGTCTATATATAATAATTAGAGGATCTAATCAATATAATGAAATCGTATAATAATGATTGTTGGAATGTTTGTCTGTGTATGCATTTTGTTTTGCGATTCAGAAACGTCTAAACCGATGCAAGTGTGATTTTCACATTCTAATAGCGAGTTAAATAATAAGTTGCTATATGAAACAAAAAGTATACGAAGTAATGGAACAAGATAATCAATAACATTCTGTATTATTCATTTAGGAAGAGTTTGAAATTATTCTATAGCTTACAGGTTGGTAATAAAATAAATTGATATATGTTAGATTATCCCGAAATTTTTACCAAGTGAAAAGCTTTTAATTTAAATTCAATTATCTTTTATGCTGCCGTTTACTGTTTATGATACCCGACATGTATATTGGTTAATTCAACTATCTGATACGTAATGTTAATTTATTAACATTAATATTTGAACATAATATTTTAATTATATTATGATTTCAGTTCAATTAGTTCTGATAAATCTAACAAAAACAACGTAATAATAATACATTAACATATTTTTTGTCATCATATTTTATACTTCCACAAGACGACATTGATAGCTCATGAGAATATTTTATAACACGTGGATGTGGGAGTATTACTCATTTGTTACAAGAAATATACCAACTCCTGCACTTCTTGAGGCCCTTGTCGTACGAAACTAACCCTTATTACTGTATCATTAAAGGGCATTTAATTATTGAGCAACCACCAAGGGAGCTGATTACGCCAGTACAGGTTCTGCCCACGTGTATGAAAAACAAGTTTTATACTGTTTTATGTGTTTAAATTATGAAATTTTGTGTTTGAATGCAAAATATGAGTATTAGGAAATTATATTTATAATATAAAACTCGTACTAGGGTATAATTTTGATACAATTAGCCTTAGAGTTCGTATCATCATGATTTCTTAGAAAATATAGCATTTGTATAAGTTACTATTGTATATACCGCCAGTGTATCCATACCAGCCAGCCAGTGTGTGTATCAGCCAAACTGTATATACCAGCCAGCCAATGTATATACCGTGACTTCGTCTGGTGTGATAAGATCTTTATCCAATGGTGTACGTCACTAGCGGGGTCTGATGGACTGATGGTCACCGTTACCAACGGTACAAAACGATTTCACACTTGGCAGACTATGTAGGTGGCTTTATAACGTACCTCAACACGTATAGAATATAAATATTAGCTTAATAGTATTAATAATAATGTTCGTAGGCATACTCTGTAGTTAATATTGTAGTACAAATATTTTGTTACTATTATAATAAATAGAATTACTCTTCGTTGAGTTAAATTTCGTTCATTATTTCTATTGTCTTGGAATTAAAATTTCTCTGAACGTTGCTAGAATGCAATTGTATTAAATTATATTTCGTAAAACTTTTGGCAATTGACCACGTTTTAGGGTTCAACGTGAAGTTATCAAATCTGATAAACAGTATTACTTGTAGGAAAGAATTATTTACATTTTCCTGTTTAAAAAGTACACATGAGTGTTAGATACCATATTTATATCAGCATCATCTGCTTACTTTATTTTAATGAGAGAATTACTTAAGACTTTTTATCGTAAAAATCTTTAAAATGTAAAACGTGAAGAAATAACATGGCCAGGAAACATTACTTAGGCAGTAATTTCAATTTAAATTATGAAAAATTATTTAAGTTTATCAAATTAATGAACCTTTATTATATTTTTTATTGATACGGAACACTACACTGGTGGGCCGAAGAAAATCGTTTTAGTGACTGACCCAATTTCCATTAGCGTGAGAACAAAATCACAGGCTCGATTGTTAAAAATTAAAACACGTATTGTCTTAATTGGTTAAAACTATAAAAACAATGGGATTATTGTGAAACAGTACGGGAATCACGATATTATAACTTTTTACATTTAACTTTCCATTAATTTATTTTCACTTTACTTTGCTATGTAGATTATATTTTTCAATTAATTCTTTTGTAGCCATGAAAAAGAGGTATTTAATTTACATAGTACTTTCTTAGCTATTACCTAATTCCATGTGAAAATTATCGTATTATTGTTAAAGTAATGTTTTTTTTTACCTCTTATGATTTTTGCCTAAAATATTTATTCGTAAGCCATCATAAATGAAATAATTTAGATTTCGATAAAAAGCGTGATATTCGAAATATATACTTTTCAGAATTAACAAAATTCTTTAGTGTTTACTTTGTGTTTTTTGAGAACATTTTTCATAAAGAAATTTTGTGGAAATAAATTGTTATGAAAAAAATTGTGACATGATAATTTTTTTGTAAATTCAGTTCTCCAAATATACTTTCAGTCACATATATGAATTTTGTAACTGCGGAACTTTTGTACGTTTCACCCCAACCACCAACATTTCATTCAAAACGAAAAAAATACACGTTTTTATCAACAAATTTAACTTTACATGTTTTAGAGGAAAATTTTTAATCATTCTGAAGAACACTATTACAAAAACTAATATGCAAAAACCCTTTGTAAACTGAGCTTCATCTAAATTGCTTTTTCCAACGGACACTCATAATTAAAATTTTAATTTATTATGTACTTTTCCTTATAGAGATTTGTTATATAAAAACCATTTAAGTGATAGTAAAAACGATGCCAAACGTGTACAACGTTTGAACGAGGACTAATAGCTTTACCAATTATGAAGTCGTTAATAAGTACCTAGCACTCTTAAGAGATAAACAAATGTACAAGCTAACAGCTTATAACTATTAAATTTAACATAAAACATATGTTTTTCTACAAGTTTTGTTTAGAATCATTCCTATACTCTATAAACCGTTTTTTACTTAATTCAACATCAAATTTTAATAGTATGCAATTTAACTGAAAAAATATTCCAACAATTCGTTTTTTTTATTTCAATTCATTAAGAGAAGAGGAACGAAAAATAAAAGATTCCGCTGGAAACAATGGGACAGCAAAAAAACGATGTCACTTGCCAAATAAAGACGAATGTCGTCTAAATAATAATCATTGTTCCAGAGAATAGATATGACATCATTCAACGCTTAACCCGAAATATTGGTGCTTCAATTACAGGATAATGTACAATGTCAAGTGTTCAACGTTGGAATTTACTGTTCGTACAGTCGCGTGCATTGTTTAATAAGGAATTATGAATAAATGATTTATTTGTATAGTTAGATGGATTTAAGTGGATGGTTAAATTTAAATGAAACTAAGATTTTTTTTATTTATGTATGTAACGGAATCTTTAAGCTTAATTTTAACCGGTTTCTTGAAGTCTGAATAATTTGAAAATTTGCATAAACATCAAGGACCTATGTAAATGCAATAATTTAATAACAGTTTTCCATTATATCTATTTATTACTGTAAAATTTTCATTATCGTGAGGCCGTGATCACGGTTGCTGTAAAGGAACCGAAACATTGGGAGTATGTAGTTTTAAAATAATAAGAAAACTGAACCGAAGAACTTAGTTTCATTTAAATGAGTAAGTACACACGAAAATCTTCGATATCATGATACACGGTTAAGTAGTTTTGCTTCCAACATTCTAGTATAGTATAGTTTATAGAATCCATGAACATTTATTTCTGGCAGTTAAAGTCTTTAGTCAGTAATGTATCCTTCGCGTGGACAGAAATGTCTGAGGAATTTGATGTGAAATTTTAAAATACTCTTGGCACGAGATCTTTAAAAGGTATCCACTGAATCGATTTTAACGATATCTATAACAAAATACTATAGTAACAATTTTATATACGGGTATAATCCTTTCATGTCCTTTTGTTGAAAACATATAATACTTCTTGTGATTTGACATCGCGTTAGAAATAATATGATTATGATTATTGTTTTTGCTGTTTCTGTATTCCACTGATTTTCATATTTTTTTATGACCAAAATAAAACCAGAAAAATCAAATCAGATTTACAATAAGGGTCTTGTAAAAACAAACAGTTTACAATGTCGTATATAAAACAATAGGTTATAAATTATATGAACAAACTTCTTTATTATACAGGGAATAGAAAACAGAAAGTAAGTTTCAGTAGTTACTATTATTTTAATCTAGATAAAGATTTCGTTTTTGATAAAAAGATTATTGCTAGATCAACAGAGTGCATATAAAATAGCTATTACATAAAAAAAGCCTTTATTATTTATTTTATTCAATATTATTATTAACTTCGCTTCTCTAATCAAATTTTTATATGTTTTTTACTAAATATTTTCTCAATCTGTTAAGAATGTTAGATCATTATCATGTACATACTTAATCTATCGTCTACAATTGAATTTAATTTTCAAGTACGTAGTATAACATCTTAAAGCTACTAGTGATGAACTGCTGCTATCAGGGAACGAGTGGCTCAAACAGCTTGTTTAATTCTAACAGCTTAGAAGAACAGCTTGTTTAATTCTAACAGCTTAGATAGAAGTCTAATCATCTGATGGTTTAACGGTAGGAATTGAAGCAATTAAAAGTTTCAAATAGGTCTTCTGTTTCAGTTAAAAACATTTTTAACGATCAACTCTTACGTACTTTGACTTTTTGTTTGTTTTTTATCGGGAATTTATTGACGGTATAGGATTATATATGGATTCACCTGTATACAAGATGTCAGACGCGGTTTTTCTTGTGTATTGTATATTTATATGAGCTACGAGTTGTTTTAAATAATATATTTGTATATTATGTTTTGTCTTAGCTACAGTTTTATTTTCACTTATAGTGTATATAATTTTGTTTTTAATCCAATACTAAATAAAAAGATCTCATGATATTTCCTCTTATTTTGAGGTCAATTATATTATTAATAGTACTATTGACCGTTAACATAAGCCAAATATAAATAAAAATATTTTCTATGTTGTTAAACGTTTGTATGTGATGATATGCATTTTATAATTGAAATAAACAATATTTAAAAAATACTATGTATATTTGAATTTGTTAAAAATGTCTAGCTTATATCAGGTGGGTAATATACAATTATTTATACATACATATAGTATATAGCAATAGAGTTTATCTTCACTCATAAAACAGAATTCTATAAAACTGAAAGATCGTAAACAAAGAGAAATCACAATTTATTATATTAATGTCTTCATTCTCTCTTCTTTAATCACATATTGTTCTTACAAAAAATAGTAATACCATTTAACAAAACTAATACTTTCGAATTAGGTACTTCGCCTTTTTTATTATTTTAAGTAACCAAAACATCGGGAGTGTGTGTATTAAAAAATACACAAAGTAATCCGAAAATATTAGTTTAATTTAAATGAAATACTCTCGAAAGTCGTGGATATCATTATAAAACAGAGTGGTGGAATATTTCCTATATCACAATGTACCATTTTCTGGTCTGTACCTGGACTCAGTAAGAGAGCCGTCGATAAGTAGAATTCTAAAATTCATTCACCTCTCAACACCGTCCTGATAAAAAATAACTACTAAAAAATTGAAGCTCTGTCCTCACCCGCTGCGTGCAACCGTGAAATTTAGAAAAAAAATCACTAGACCTGCCTTTTGATACCGAATACACTGTTGACTTTAGAATTTCGTATTACTTGTGACTGTCGAAATGTATTTATATTTTATATATTGAATAATTTTAAATATAGGGTTTTACGTATATGATTGAGTATACATAAAAATAAATACATATTTTAAAGCTAATACTAATATAAAAAGAACATTTCATATGAAGTTATTATTAAATGTGTTTCATCCGCGTCGTGATAGAAATGCGTGCTGAATATCCTGTCTGAATAAAAATAAATATTTTATATAGATAACAAGATTCGCGTGTTACATTTTCTTATATAAGCTTATTTATGTTTTGTGACAAGTTATTACTTATTGTATCAATGTTTCTGTGATATTTTGTGTATTATTTTAGACACGAAACATTTTATAGCAGGCTTAAAGGCTGGATATGAAAAGGCTCCCGGCTTTAGCCAGCACGGTGATGTAATGTAGGTTAGAGTGTACCTGAAGCTAGAATCTCTAGTATATATGTTAGATGTGTTTTCGTTTGCCGATATATATATATCTTCGTATCTTCTTCTTCCTGGCAATCTACGTATCTTCTTCTTCCTGGCAATTTCCCAGCTTTAACCAGGGTCTGCCTATATGTATCTATATGTATATCATGCACTATCAGATCCTTAAATCTATAAAGATAGTACAGCATTCCTGCTAATTCTTAGCTCATTGTTACGAATGCTTAAAACCGTCACAAACAATATAATATTACAAAAAAAAGACACAAATCAAACGACAGGTACCTACACCTAGTTCAATGCAATTATGAACAGACTTACGGATATAAAATATATTGTACGGCATTGTAGTCGAAGATATCAATAGAAGTATTGTTTAAAAAGGCTCAGTAAAACACATCTATGCTAGTTTGAGGTAAAAACTCCCCTGAGCAATTCAATTTAGCTGAAATAACATGTATGAAAGGGTTGAAATAATTACAACTGGGAATGGAATGACAAAATTTAATTAAATTTTATATGAAACTGTGGCGTTTTTTTCTGCTGGTGTAGGACTGGGTATGCGGTTTTAATTCTTGTACTTCAAATATCCAGACCTCAAAAATTATTATTATATTAAATTCTTCTGAGTTTAATTCAAGTATTAATTCAACGTTTCTAACTATATAATTTGTAAATATTTTTTATGTTTAAATTATAAGTAAAACAGTATTACTTATAGGAGATTTAAGTTAGTAAATAAATAATTTAAATGTTGTGAATACATCTATGTAGTTTTCTCGTCTATTAGTTAATATAGGTATATCCCCTTTGCAATTTCCGTGTCTAAACCCTCTTCGTATTGTCCTTGGAGCCGGATGTAAGAAAAGGGAACTCATTACAAACTACATCACTAACATATGTTTTCATTGAGCTTGTGTTATCATCAGCTTATACAGACGATTTAGATTATAACGTTATATAAATATGACTAAAAATATTAAACTTAAGGAATTATTGACAATGAATGTTAAATTTTATGAAATTAATCTCGTCTGTCCGTGATTACGGTTGCTGAAAAGTAGCCGAAACGTCGAGAGTATGTAGTTTTTTACAAAAATAAAGCTCGTAGTAAATCCAAAAAATGATAGTTTCATTTAAATGAATATTCGCGAAAATCTTAGATCTCATTACGTTAAACAAAAGTACCTATATGAAATTATTTGAAGAACTCTTTACTAAAATGTATTGTAAGTCTAGCCAGCTAGATCATAAGTTTTAACATGTTCCAAGGAATCCGGAACGTCAGGTAGCGTTTTGTATAGAATAATATTTTTGGTACATTACAACCCCACAGAGACCTTTGTGGTAAAATGGAAGCGGCTAACTAGAAAATAACTAAGGATTAAAAGCGTCTAGAGGCGATTACCTGATTCCCTTTTATTCCTCCCTTCGTAAACACAGAGAGGTAATTAGGTTGTTTTATAATGGAACAGTATTAAGAATTACGTTGGAATTATACTACGGAATGTTCCGGCTTCAGGTAAATTGTACATATATTTTTATATCAAATTTGTTTTCCTATTTCTGTTAGGTCTATAAAATATTAATCGATTTCACTCAGACGTAATTTACATGGAAACTATTAGTACACACACATCCATAATAAAATACACACATACATGCACAGCCAGTCGTATGTGTGTGTAATTACTATAAACGATTGTTGAATGTGTGTGTGAGTTTCGAACAATTATCAATACATAACAAAGGTAAAATTAATTCCTTTGTTCGACTAATTGCATGTTCTAAATCTAGCGCATCTGTTACCTACTACGTGATTAGGAACTTAATCTGCATCGAAATGTTACATTCCTTATATACTCTTATATATAAGACGCGACTTATATAGTTAGAAATTAATATATACTTTATATATTATTAATAGCTTTGAACCCACAGCTTCGCCCGCGTGGAGTTCGGTTATATCGCGTTTCCAAGAGAACCTTTCAAAAGTCTGGGATAAAAACTATGCTATGTTCTTTCTCAAGGTCAACTCTATGTCTGTACCAAATTTCATTAAAATCAATTCAGTAGGTTAGGGGTGAAAGCGTAACAGACAGACAGACCGAGTTACTTACGCATTTATAATATTAGTAGGGATTAGTACTTATTTGAATACTGCATGATCTTAAAACAGTAGTTTATAAGATATGTTTCTCCTACATTCATAAATCATTGTACATAATTATAGTGAATAAGATTTATGAATGAGAAGTGTTTAAACTGTCATTGTCTAGGCTATCGTTGGAGATTGCGAAACTTGTAAGAGCCAGAAACTGAAAGCAACTTATTTTTATAGTGTTAAAATAATATACGTAGATATAATATGTATAACATATCGATTGAAATTTATTTAATTACAGCTATACATATTTAATGATTCTGTTGTAGTACAATTGTTTATGGCTGAATATTTCAGTGTTGCTAAATTTATCTATGTAGGCAGTTTAGTAATGATGTTTTTTTAAACAGTACAAATTAATAAAATCTTGTTTTTTTCTGTACTGTAAATATAATGCATTTAAGATAAGTGAGTTTTCTGTCACTGAACCTAACACCCAAACCCTGTGGGTAGATCGTGTGTGAATGACTAATCCAAAGATTCGCCCATTTGTATATCCATAAAATATTCCACAAATACCTTTTCAATTACGTAAATGAACAAGCACATTAAGAAACCAAACAAATTATCTGTAATCTAATCTCGGTGGAGGAGCTGTGATAACTGGTGTATTTTTTCCATCCCTAATAAGCCAGCGTTGGTTGCTGGGAAGTTTACTTTCCATTTCAATTTCCATCAGTCTGTTATAAATTATAAGGCAGCAGCATTCGATTTCCTCGGTGGGATGTGCCGAGGGAAGTGTTCCCCGTGAGGTACCTCTAATTCGCTAGAGGGGCGTTCTGTTAATCTTTGAGTTAGCTACATTCTGTTTGACTGCTTCCCATTTATACCTGTCCGATGACGATTGAAAGCTTAACTCATTTTATTTGTATTTGAACTAGCAATCTGCATTTAATATGTTTTCTTACTATTAAGAAGGTATAACTTAATACTAATAACATTTTTTTTTTATTTTTGTCCATTTTTCAATACGTTAAAGTATAAGGATTGAATTTCAAATTATTACTCAATTGAATACCAGTACATCCAATGTGTCAGATTTTGTAAAATATTCTGTGAATAAAAGATAAGAGCGAAGTAAACGCTTAGGAATATTCTACACTCATGAATAATTCTAGTTTGCTGCTAGAGTATTGTGCATCTAGTGTAAAGAATATCCAATTTATTGTACTCTCTGTTCGCTCTAAGAAATGTTCAGCTTTATACGTTATATTCGATGTACTGCAGAAGGAGCCGTTATGAAAGGTCATACAGTTTCAATATTATTTGTGACAACGTTATACACTATACGTAATCATAACATGGACAAAATAAATAAGAACAATATATTATAAATTTTTGGAATATTACATCTGTTTGCATTGACTCAAGTATAATATAATATACGTCTATTTCAATTAAGTTGCTGTGGGGGGCGTAGCTCAGATGGTAGAGCGCTCGCTTAGCATGCGAGAGGTACCGGGATCGATACCCGGCGCCTCCAGGGACTTTTTTGACAAAGATACTTTTTGTACAATAGAAGGTTATTTACCTAATATTGTTTTGTTTTATTTTAAAGTAATTTTGGATCATATAAAATTTATTTTTTTTTATAAAGAAGATTAACCTCTAAGTTTTTTTTAATAAAAAGTTTATGTATTATACGTATAAACATTAACAAGGAAATGTTTTAAAGCCATTGAAAGTATAAAGTGTATAAATGAACATTAGAACAATTTGTACTTTAACATCATCACGACCCTAAGCTTACTTTCAAACTCCCCAGAACAAAACTTGTAATTCAGAGACGTTAAGTGAGGAGTTGTCATTTGTTAGGGCGCCAGCTGAATTAAACAAATTTACCTATAAATATATTTATATACTAGACAGGACTGGACACACACATACACATACAAACACATACATACATACACACACACACATACATACACGTAATTTGTGCTACGATGTCAATAAGATCTACGCGCCATCACGAAATAATTTATTTTTAATTAGTACATGTTTTTTTATCAGAAATCTGTTTAAGTAGGTACAATAAATTTCGAAGATTTAAGAATGGAAAAGTGAGGATTCACGCTTATAGTAAGCTTACTGCTCTGTAGATTAATTTCTGTATACGAAATATAGTAATTTATATTTAATTTGTATAACCTATTTATGTTAGAATATTAATAGAAAATGTTTTTGTTAAATTCATATTTTATTAAAGATACTCCGTGTATATTTGGCTTCAGTAAACGTTCTAGTCTTTTCTAACGTCGACCGAGCTCAATCATTGCTTTGTCTTACAAAAATAGTCACAGATCAGTTATAAAATTTTCCTTTTTTCCTTAAAAATATATTCTATTAATAATTTAACTATATATTTATCTAACGTTTATCAATGAAAGCAAATTAAAGAATCCTTAAAATATCAGAGATTTAGATCGTTTAAAAAAATGTTTATAAAATAATATCTAAATTCTATATGTACCAATATTTAAACATCAAACACGAATAATTTTAATACAAAACTTTTATTAAACGGGATAATTTTTGAAGAGGCCGGTCCATGCAAAAAGGTAGTGAAGTTGATGGAGGTCTCAAAGGTTTTGTACAAAGGTTTATTACGGAAGTTGCTTTTGAATAAACAATATGCGGTTATAATAGCTACTCCTCAACTTGGACTATAGCTTTGTACCTCAAGACAATAAATCACAAATCAACTATTTATATCTACTAACAGTTTAATAATTAAAATATAGATGGCGCTTTTATTAAATAATTTTAAAGTAGTATTTATAAAAGCATTGTTCTGTTTGTAGTGAAAGTAA